TAAACCCTAAACCCTAAACCCTAAACCCTAAGCCCTATTGACATCTTTGAAGGCTTCCAGTAACCCTAAACCCTAAACCCTAAGCCCTAAACCCTAAACCCTAAACCCTAAACCCTAAGCCCTATTGGCATATTTGAAGGCTTCCAGTAACCAACAATGTGACAGCAGTCTCGATCTCATCTTCTGCTTCTGCAAACGCCCGAGAAGTCGATGTTAAGCACCCTAAACCCTAAACCCCAAGCTCTGAGCCCTAAGCCATATAGAAATTTAAAAACACAATACTAATACTGAATTAATACTAAATTACTACTAAATTAATACTAAATTAATACTAAACTAATACTAAACTACTAAGACTAAACTAATACTAAAATAATGAAAGCAGAGAGTTGCAGGGTGGCAGCTCGGTGCAAGCGGTCATCACCAACAGAGAGCAGCTCATCGAGACCCGCGGCCCTCAAGATCGTGCCTATGCCGTGCTCCATGGGGACGGCACGGTAAGATGCGGAGGATCTCCAGAATTTGGGGGCGACTGCAGTGGAGTGCAGGATTTTCTGCACGATGTGCAGGCCATCCACTCGACACGGTCGTTCTTCGTGGCCCTGCAGCATGACGGCTACCTCGTGACCTGGGGGCGCGACTACTACGAACATCTCCATATCTTAGAAGATATTGCTCAGCTGTGGTGTCTGGTACAATCCATCGCAACTGCTGACCTTGCTGTTGCAGCACTCCTTAAAGACGGCAGTGTCGTATGCTGGGGAGATGCAGAGGAGGGGGGTGACTGCCAAGCTGTCCAAAGGCAGCTGAGACGATCCGGTCGCAGCGTGACGCATATCCGAGGCTTCTCAGCGGGCTTTGGCGCCGTCTGCAGTGACGGCTCTGTCGTGACATGGGGCCGTGCAACGCTGCCGGACCGACTTCGGCACGTTCGGAATGTTGAGCAGCTGGAAGCGACAGAAAAAGCCTTTGCTGTCCGACTCAGCGATGGCTCCGTGGTGGCTTGGGGCGATCCGGAGTTCGGCGGCGACTGCAGCAGCGTTGGTCCAGGCATTGTTCAGATGATCGTCGCCGGTATTGCTGCCTTCGCCGCACTCTGCCAGGATGGTTCAGTGGTATCCTGGGGAGACCCCTTCAGGGGAGGCAACCGACGGCTGACTCTCGGATGTCACAGTCCCACCCATCTGTCTCTGAAGCCAAAGCCTCTCTTCCACCCTACACCTCTCCCCGTCACATGTGTCGAGGTACACCGGGGTGAGGGAGATTGCTGCCCAACACAGGGGGGAGGTGGCTCCGTTTCGTCACGGCTTCGTCGCAATCCTGGAAGACGGCTCGGAAGTGTATTCGGATGATTGGGCATCACAGCGTCAAACCTACTCACCGAGTCAGGTCTAGGGTATATGTTGAAAGTAGACGAGGGTCTGGGTGCTGTCTTATCCTAGGCTTATCTTCAGAAACGTCCTTTTGAATAATATGGGGTTTAGGGTTTAGGGTCCAAGAAGATTCCTTGACCTCGAAGTCCAATCACCGCAACGCCTCTGCAGCGCACGTGTCGTCATGGACAGTTGTTCCAAAAGGCATCCTGCAGGCGCCCCAACTTGTGGTGCACTCTAGGATCG